CACTACTCCTGCTACTACTACTACTACTACTACTACGACCACGACAACGACGACTACGACTACTACTACTACTACTACCACATGCCACTACTACGACTACTACGACTACTACTACTGCTACTACTACTAACAATAATACTACGACTACTACTACGACTGCTATTACAACTAATAATACGACTCCTACTCCTACATGTACCCCGATACCTACAATTACAGTACTCCTGCTCCTACTCGTGATCCTACTACTGCTCCTCCTACTCCTACTACTACTTCTCTCCCTACTCTTCCTACTCCTACTCCTATTCCGACTCCTACACCTACTCCTACTCCTATTCCTACTTCTTTCCTCCTAGTCCTCCTCCTCCTCCTCATCATAATCCTCCTTCTACTTCTCCCTCCCCTTCCTCCTCATCAATAATTATGATGAGTTTGCGAAGCCACACTGCCGGAATACCTGAATAGGTTGGAAATGGGCAAGCGGCCGCCAGTAATGCTCCAAACGGTTACGTCGCATAGCATGATACTTGATACCCTGCGTCTCCGCAGTATCCCCCTCCTCATCCTTCTCCTCCTCCCACTCCTACTCGTCATCATCATCATCATCATCATCATCATCATCATCATCATCAGCATCATCATCATCAGCAGCAGCAGCAGCACCATCACCATCATCATCATCATCATCATCAGCAGCAGCAGCATCAACATCATCATCATCAGCATCATAATCATCATCATCATCGGCAGCATAATCAGCATCATCAACATCATCCGCAGCAGCATCAGCAGCAGCAGCAGCAGAAGTAGCATCATCATAAGCAGCAGCAGCCTCATCATCATCAGCATCATCAACAGTATCGCCATCATCATCATCATCATCATCATCATCATCATCATCATCATCATCATCATCAGCATCATCCTCATCATCATGGCCATGATCGTCATCAGCATCAGCAGCAGCAGAAGCAGCCGCAGCAGCAGCAGCACTGCCGGCGTCGGCAATATCAACATCATCCTCATCATCATCAGAATGATTATCAGTAGCATAATCGGCGACGTCAGCAGCAGCAGCCACGATAACACTGTGATGGAGAAGCGCCTTCCGCTACTCGCAAAGTACCTAGTCGTAAATGGCCTGGATCCGCCGCGGGGGAGTTACTATATGATACATCGAGGCAAACAGCTGTTGTTTCGGACGCTTGCGAGTAGAATGCGTTCAGTTATATGAGATGAAACAGTAATAACAAAACATGTAACATTTCGGATCACAATGCTTGTATGACTCATCATCATCATCATCATCATCATCATCATCATCATCATCATCATCGTCACCATCATCAGTAGCATCATCATCAGCATCGGCATTTGCATGGGCGTCGGCATCGCAACCTTCATCATCAACATCAGCGGCATCACCATCAGCATCAACAACAGCGCGACAATGATAATCAAAAACAGCAACATCACGAGCCGCATAATAACAATAATAGTACTCATAATCATCATCATCATCATCATCATCATCAGCATCATCATCATCATCATCATCACAATCATCATCTTCGTATCATCATCACCACCATCACCATCACCATCACCATCACTATCACCATCATAATCGTCGTCGTCATCGCCATTGGAAGCAGCATCATCATCATCACCATCATCATCAGTATCATCGCCACCATCAGCGACAGCCGCATCATCAGCAGTGCCATACTGATCACTGTTCTCACGGCCATACCACATGCATCCTCAAATTCGTCATCACAACCACCACCATCATCATCGGCAGCAGTATCATCATCATCATCATCATCATCATCATCATCACCACCACTACCAGAACTACACCAGCATCATCAGCATCATCCCCTAACAGCATCAAAACCATCATGATATAGCCATGTACATCAGCATGAGCATCAGCATCAGCATCCGCATCAGCATCATCATCAGCATCACAAGTATCATCATCAGCATCAACATCTTCCTCGACACCATCATCAACATCATCAACATCATCACCAGCATCAGCCCCGCCAGCACCACAATGCACAGCAGCAGCAGTATCACCATAAGCAGTACCGCCAGCATCACCATCAACACCACCACCACCACTATCATCATCATCATCATCATCATCAGCATCATCACCATCATCACCATCATCATCATCATCATCATCATCGTCGTCGTCCGCATTATCATCATCAGCATCATCAGCATCATCAGCAGCATCGCGGACGTCGTCGTCGCCCTCAGCATCATCATCATCAACATCATCATCACCATCGTCATAATGATAATCAGCATCATCAATAGCATCGTCGTCGTCATCGACATCGTCAACATCAGCATCAGTAGCGGCATCGCCATCATCATTACCGTCATCGTCGTCGTCATCGTCATCATCATCAGCATCATCAGCAGCACCACCACCACCAACAATCGTCAGCATTATCAGTCACATCAGCATCATCATCATCAGTATCGCTATCATGATCGTCATCATCGGCATCATCACCGCCGCCACCACCATCGGTATCGGCCCCACCATTACCATCGTGATCATCATAAGAATCATCATCGTCATAATCATGACCATCACCGACACCATCACCATCTGCATCGTCATCATCATCGTCATCATCATGGCCATGATCATCACCATCGTTGTCGTCACCACCATTATCAACATCAGTGTCCTCGTTGTCGTAAACATCACCATGATCGCCACCATCATCATCACCACCATTAGCACCATCACCACCACAATTAAAAGTCATCAGCATCATCATCATCATCATCATCATCATCACCATCAGCATCAGCATCGGCATCGGCATCTCTTGTGCATATTGATTCATGCTCCTCCCTGCCTCTCCTCCTGGACAGGCGTCTCGCTCGTCTCCCCTCCACCCCACTTCCTCGTCCGCCACTCCTCCGACTCCTCCTCCTCCGCCGCCGCAGGTGCAAGGTGAGCCCCCGCCGAGTACGCAACCTCGAGCCGCGCAAGCATCCCGCTCGGGTCAGGCCTTCTGGCGTTCCCGCTCGACCGTACGATTCAGTTTCGGTAGTTTGGTTCAGCGATGTCTCAGACTTCTCAGGCGTTATCGATTGTTCGATGACGACAAGATCTGGTTCCCGGGCTCCACCTCGTTCGCCTGTGCATCCTCCTTCTAAGCCACGCCATGGTCCTCCCAAGACTACCCCTCAACCTTGTCCCCATCAAACCAACCCGTACCTTTCCTCCTTCTCCTTCTCCTCATCCTCCTCATCATCATCAGCAGCATCCGCACCATCATTATCATCACCACCACCACCGTCATCATCATCATCATCATCATCATCATCATCATCATCAGCATCATCATCACCATTGTCCTCATTATCATCATCATCATCATCATCATCATCATCATCATCATCATCAGCAGCAGCAGCAGCAGCAGTATCAGCATCATCATAATCAGCATCAGCATCAGCATCAGCATCATCCTCATCCTACTCATCAGCATCAGCATCAGCATCAGCATCATCATCAGCATCAGCATCAGCATCAGCATCAGCATCAGCATCAGCAGCATCCATCATCATCCTGTTCAGCATCATCACCGATTATCCGCCACAGCATCCTCGTCATCATCGTAATCAGCAGCAGCAGCATCCGCATCAGCATCAGCATCACCGTCAGCAGCATCAGCATCAGCAAAATCATCGTCAGCATCATCATCAGCATCAGCATCATCATCATTCACATCCTCATCATCATAATCAGCAGCATCATCAGCATCAGCAACATCATCATAAGCATCATCATCATCATCATCATCATCAGCGGCAGCATCATCAGTATCAGCAGCAGCATCCTTAGTATCAACAGCAGCATCATCATCCTAAGCATCAGCATCATCATCGTCACCGTCATCACCATCATGATCAGCATCAACAGCATCATCATAATCATCAGTATCAGCATCATCAACATCATCATCATCATCATCATCAGGAGCACCAGCATCATCATAATCAGCATCAGCATCAGCATCAACCTCAGCATCAGTATCATCATCATCATCATCATCCTCATCGTCATCATCATCATCATCATCATTATCATACTGGTCAGCATCATCACCGATCATCCTCCACAGCATCCTCGTCATCATCATAACCAGCAGCATCAGCATTAGCATCATCATCAGCATCATCGTCAGCAGCATCAGCATCAGCAGCAACATCATCATCAGCATCATTATCAGCATCAGCATCATCATTCACATCCTCATCATCAGAATCAGCAGCAGCAACATCAGCATCAGCAACCTCATCATAAGTATCATCATCAGCATCAGCATCATCATTATCATCAGCAGCAGCATCATTTGCATCAGCAACAGCATCATAATCAGCCTCAGCATCAGCATCATCGTCATCGTCACCGTCATCACCATCATCATCATCATCATCACCATCATCATCATCATCATCATCATCATCATCATCACCATCATCATCATCAGTTTCATCCTCATCAGAATCCTCACCATCATCATCATGCTCCTGCTGCTCCTCTCGCTCTCACGACTTGTCATCGTCAGCTTCCTGCCTCCTCGTCGTCCTCCTCCACGACCTCGCCCACCCAGTCCTCCTTCTCCTCCTCCTCCTGATTCCTGATTCCTGACAGCATTGGTGTTCTCCGAACGCTGCCACTTCTCCTCCTCTTCTTCCTCCTCCTCCTCCTCCTCGTCTTCGTCCTCCTCCCCCCAAACATCCGACGTCGTGCTTTGTTTACATGAGTGGCTCCAAGGAGGTCTGGACCCTTCCCAAGGACCAGGCTTACGTCCCAGATAACTGTTTGACGACCCCAGGGCCTGGGAAGGGCGTTCGGAGACCGAGAAGCGAAACAACACATAAAAACAAACTTCCTTAGTCATGATTTTGACGGCGCGAGGACATCGGGGCCCTCCCCCTCCCAAGGGCGCGTCCTTCTTTTTGACGGCGCCCCCGTGGTCGAAGTCCTCCTCGAGGTCGCCAGAGCTTCTCTGCCCCAGTTTGGCCTGGTGCGCGCTGGAGCACTACGACGGCGTGGGCGTGGACGAGAGAGAGAGAGACACACACACACACACACACACACACTTTCAAGTCGGCGGCGCAGAGAATCCTTAGGCGCGGACGGCAGATGGAAATGCCAATTGCGATCGAGCAGTGCCGAAGGCGGAGTGCACATGTCGTGCACACTGGCAAGTGCAGCGATGCGTGGTGTGAGGAGACACTGACACACTCAGGAGGGAAAAAAACACACAGACACACTTGATCGGCGATCCCCAGGAAAATATGGGAAAATATGGGAAGTGGGGGGGGAAGACAAAAACCCAGAAAATATGGGAAAAGATGGGGAATCTGTTTATTTGTGTATTTAGTTGTGTGTCCTGGGGCCCCTTCACGCACACACACACACACACACACACACACACACACACACACACACACACACGCACACACACCTTTTACGTCGGCGGCTAGGCAGAGCAACTGCGCTGGCGGAAGGGCAGTCGAAACGGGGATATACCGTTGGAGCGAGCTGTGCCACAGTGCAGGAAAAGGGAGGAAGGCGGGGCAGCGGCCGAAGGGACGGGGAAAAGGAGCGAGGGCCGCTCAGGGACACACACATGAAGGGGCCCTGAGACACACAAATAAACATGCACAAACAGGAAGATTCCCCACAGTTCCCTACATGTTCTCGGCTCTTGCCTTCCCCCCCACTGCCCACATGTGTCCACACTTTCCTGGGAATCGACGATGAGTTGTGTCTGTGTGTTTTCCCCCTCCTGGACACACACACACACACACATCGGGGAGACGTAAGACCCGGGTACGGGGGACTCGGAAATCCCCGACGAGGTCGTCAAAAAAATGACGAGGCCGAGCCTGCATTTTGACGAGGCCTCCCGCTGCAGACATCCCACAAAACTCCTCCTCGTCAAAATCCGAGGCGCGGTCGTCAAAAAACGATGGCGAACCCGAGTCCTGGCAAACCCGGGTCTTACGCTCCCCCGAACACACACACACACACACACACACAGATAGGATGGCTGGCAGGCAGGCGCGCCGGCACGCAGGCATAGACGCGGAGGGGCGGAGGCGGGGGCGGGGGGGGGGGGTCTGCACGGGCCGCCCGGGGGCGGGATTTTGGGGCGCCTCTCGGCGCCGGCCTCGGGCGATCGTGACGGAGCCGCGAGGGAGGCCTCACGCTGGCACTGATATCGGGGGCGCGCAGAACATGGATTTGTCTTTCGCTTCAGCCTCTGTTAGGGAGCCCACAAAGGACGTACGCGCCCAGCTATGTACATGAACACGGCCCCTCGATTCGCGAGACCGGCCGCGTGATACGAACATTTGTGCAATGCGTGCTCTCGAAACCAGCGTGGATTCATGTACATGTACGTCCTTCTTTCGCTCCTGATCTGTACACCCGAAGGCTAAGCTCAAGCAGGAGAGCGAGGCGAGCACCTCTGCAGGCTGGAGGCACGCACGGGCGGGGGTGTTGCGCCACCCTGCATCACGGGGACGGCGCGCAAACATGGATCAGCGATCATTGGATGTGGCGCGCGGTCGCCAAGGCCATAGATCGGGGGCGGGGTGCCCTCCCCAAAGTGCGGCCGGTGCCGCCTCGATCGGCAGCGGAGATCCGCGACTCCATGGAAACAGGACCCGTAGCTAATCCACGCCCCCTTGATCCATGCTTGCGATCGTCTGACTCTTGGCGCCGCGTCGTGCGATCTTGACAGGGCGGCGATGGAGATCTCACGCAAATTCTGACAGGAGCATTGAAAGCCGACACCAACACCACCAGGGACCACCAGCGCGAGGAGCCAGGGAGGGGGGTGTGGTCTCCCCTCTCGCTCGGGACATCCCCCATCCCCGGCTCGGAGAGGCATCGTGGACCTCCTCGCTGGAGGTGGCCCCCTGGTGGCGTTGGTGCCTCTTCTCCTTCTCTCCATACTGAGGGGCTTGCCTGAGTCCTACGGTCAACCCGTACAGCCAGGACGCACGACGAGGGTGCGAGGGCCTGGGAAGGCCATGTCAAAGGGTAAACTTGCAAAGTCGCTCGCACTCCGAGTTTCTTAGTAAGCGTCGGGGGGGGCGTCACCCCCGCCGACAGCCCCACATCGACCCCCGTCGCGGGCAGCCACCTCGCGCCAAAGGCGTTCCGACCCCCGCCGCGGCGCGACGACGAGGCGAGGCTGACCCCCGCCAGGGGGGTACCACCCAGGGTAACCCAGGGTGACCTTGGAAAGCCGCTCCATCCTTACTTTGCGGGCTGACCGATAAACCCCGGCGAGGCGGAGCTGCCCTCCTGGAGCCACTAGGATGCCTCCTGGGGCCAGCCATGTCCTGGACCCTCGGCGTCGTGACCTCTGGCGGTCCCGAGGCCTGGCCAGGCCCCCTGGAGGCCGAAGATAGCGAAAGGAGGAGGAGGAGGAGGAGGAGGAGGAGGAGGAGGAGGAGGAGGAGAGGCGGAGAGAGGAGGAGGAGGAGGAGGAGGAGGAGGAGGAGGGGAGGAGGAGGAGGAGGAGGAGGAGGAGGAGGAGGAGGAGCGGAGAGAGGAGGAGAGAGGAGGCGGAGAGAGGAGGAGGCGGAGGAGGAGGAGAGAGGAGGCGGAGAGAGGAGGAGGAGGAGGAGGAAGAGACAGGAGGCGGAGAGAGGAGGAGGCGGAGAAGGAGGAGGAGGAGGAGGAGGAGGAGGAGGAGGAGAGAGGAGGAGAGAGGAGGCGGAGAGAGTAGGAGGCGAAGGGGGCGGAGGAGGCGGAGCCGTGGTCTTGTTCCCCGGCGCGACGGGCGGTCCGGGGTCCTGGACGGCTGCTCCCGCGCAAAGCGCGAAGAAACTGCCCGCGGGCCGCCCGGAGGCCGCTGACCGCACTCCTGGCCCTCGCTCGGACGCCCACTCCCCGAGCCAGTGCTCGATCTGGTGCGCATAGTTTTCGCAGGGCGACTCGAAGTGCTCCTCGATGGCCCGCCCCCGCCGAAAAAGAAATGCGCACACGCCCGAGCGCGATGCCAAGGCTCTCGCATCGGCACCGACCCCGAAGGTCCCCCCGAGAGCGGGCCGAGTGTCAGAGGACGCCCTGGTGGCGCCGACGTCCTCGTCCCGGGCGCCAGTTCTCTGAGGGCGGCCTCGAGCCTCCGCCCCCGTCGTCGCCAATGGCACTGCTTCTGGAGGCGCGCTCGAACTGGCCAGAGCTTCGCCGACGGAGGCAGAAAGCAATAAAACACGATATATCAAGAAAAGAAACAAGACAACATAAAAAAAAACAACAGACTAGCGCCAGAACACTAAGAAGAAGATGAACAACAAAAACAACGATAACATCATTTTAAGACTGCTCGCTCCTGTCTGCGCGAGTGCTACTCAACGTGGATCGTATATCCCAAACCCTCGGTACCCACCCTCTTCGTCTTCGATCGTACCCCCTTGGGGGTATATCTTCCTTACATGCCACGCTCATTGAGCGCAGCCCCTCAAACGGGGGAAGACAGGTCGAGCAGGCGGGCTACTGAAGCGTGAGCCCTGTTTGAATCGCAAGAAGTCTCGAGGGATAGCGCGTTTCCAAAATGGATCGTGAGAAAAGTCCAAAGCGATAGCGTGATTCCAGGGCGCGGCGTTTGAATAAATTGCGAGGAAGTCCAACGCGAGAACGCGATTCTTGCAAAAATTGTGGGCAAGCCCCGCGTCAGAGCGCGATATGGGAAAAAAATATGAGGAAATATAGAACGGGAATTGTTGTTGCTGCAGCCTGGGGGCAAACAACGCAGTTTGAGCAGGAAAATGCCCCCTTTTCCAAAAAAAAAAAAAATGCGCAAGCCCGAAGGGAATACTTTCAATGGAAACAAAATGTGCAGTGGTGGGGAGCAACAATAATTCTTGTTCGGACATGAGAATTCATTTCGACAACAATCATTTTAAGACTGGGCGGGTCGGAAGGCGAGCCCAGGCGGCCAGGTCGAGCAGGCGGGTTGCTGAAGCGTGCGTCTTGCATGAATCGCGAGGAAGTCTCGAGCGATAGCGCGAATCCAAAACACATCGTGAGGAAAGGCGAAAGCGAGAGCGTGCTTCCTGAGTGTCGAAGGCGCGGTGCCTGCATAGATTGCGAACACAAAAAAAACAGCAGCAACAACAACAAACAATAATGTAAGACTGATCGCTCTTACCTGTCCACGTGCCACCCAACACTTATATCTTAAACTCTCGGGACCCACCCGCTTCGTCTTCGATCGTAACCCCCTCTGGGAGCATATCTTCCTTACCTGCCGCGCGGGCTTGATGCATCCCCCGAAGCTATGGGACGATGGAGCACGGGATTCGCAGAAGGGGGGCTAGGAGCAGAAAACACGCGGCAGAACCAAACGAGCCCATCGGGCGGGTAGACCCTCACGGGTGGGTCGGGAAGGCGGACCCAAGCGGCTAGGTCAAGCAGGCGGGTTGCTGAAGCGTGAGTACTGCATGGATCGCGAGGATGTCTCGAGCGATAGCGCGAATCTAATAATCCATGAGGAAAAGCCAAAGCGAGAGCGTGATTCCTGAGCGTCGAGGGCGCAGCGCCTGAATACATTGCGAAGACGTTCCACGCGAGAGCGCGATTTCTGAATAAAGTGTGACGATGTCCCGCGCGAGAGCGCGATTTCGGAATAAATTGTGAGGGCGTATCGGGCTGGAGTCGTTATTGTCGTAAGTCGGGGGCCAAGGGCCCAGTTTGGTGATACGACGCCTTCCCTGATAAAAAGCCGGGTGCGAGCCCCGAAGGAGGCACTGCAATTGAAAAATAGAACGGTCACCAGAGGGGGGATCAACGATAATTCTTCTTCAGAAATGAAGATACAACAACAACAACAACAACAACAACAACAACATCAACAACAACGAACCGGCGACGCCCATTGGCGCCGGTATACACGGAATAACAATAGGCCGCTATGATTCCGTGTATCCGATGCACGGAATAATACGCCACTATTACTTCGTGTATCCGATACACGGATTAGTAAGCGCCTACTACTCC